GTAACTCCTGAATGAACTTGGGTTTAAGGTTTAGGATTTAACTATGCGGGGCCCTCTCGGGCCCTCCTGGGGGTGGCCGATGTCTTAGGGACGGAAGGGTCTGAATTTCCTTACGGGTTCATGGGTGAGTGATGGTGAGTGCATGGCCAGTGGTCGTGTGCTGGGGGCCGCTGGACCTCGTACGTGGCCGTGTGCCTGGTCCTGGACGAACCTTGACTCGCCCGGTCCCCAGACGACTCGCCGGGTGGAGGCTCGGAAAAAGTGGAGCAGGATGCTTCCGTGATCTGAGCTCTGGTGCATCTCGCACCTTCTGAGCCTGCATCCGCTTGGCTTCATGAGCCCGTCTGGCTGTGCTGACGCTGTGGGAACTCCGCGGTTGGAGTAGCTCCTGAATGAACTTGGGTTTAGGGTTTAGGGTTTAGGAACTATGCGTGGCCCTCTCGGGCCCTCCTGGTCTGGGATGCCTAGGAACCCATTCACCTAAATCGAAGTGTGCTATGCACTTGAGGGCTTATTATTAAAATTAGGGCCGCAGTTGGAGTAACTCCTGAATGAACTTGGGTTTAGGGTTTAGGGTTTCATAGGAACTATGCGGGGCCCTCTCGGGCCCTCCTGGTCTGGGATGCCTAGGCCCTTAGGAACCCATTCACCTAAATCGAGGTGTGCTTTGCGCTTGAGGGCTTGTTATCAAAATTAGGGCCGCAGTTGGAGTATCTCCTGAATGAACTTGGGTTTAGGGTTTAGGGTTTCATAGGAACTATGCGGGGCCCTCTCGGGCCCTCCTGGGGGTGACCGATGTCTTAGGGACGCTTAGGACCCTGAAACCGTAGTCAGGACTTTGATGCCCAGGGATCCATTCGCCAAAACCGAAGTTTGCACTTGAGAATCTAAGGTCGAGGATTATCATGGACCCTACCTCCCGTATATCCCCAGCAACTCCGAAGAGAACCAAGTCCTTCCTGGAATCTATAACAGATGTTCCTCTACCACTGGCTGCAACCCTCGCCTCTATTCGAGAGCTAGAAAAACAATTAGTGTGACAATGTGTTTAAGCGTCTAGGGTGTTGCGGACATATTATTAGGGTGTGCAAGGTTTAACGGGATGTAACCCGTAGCCGAAGCCTGTCAGGCCTGCATCCGGGGAGAAGCTGCACAACCTTGGCTTCACGGGACCAGCTAAACTGGAGTCACAAGTTAAATCAAGCACCGGAAGACACCCTGCCAGCATAGAACTGTCGTCGTTGAGTGATCCCGAAACATGTCCCTCATCACAAGAATCTCACCCCCCCCCCATCATCTCTCCCTCTCGGTCTCTCTCTCTCTCTCTCTCTCTCTCTCTGACACCTTGTGACACTGACGAATGCCCAGTCCTCGGTCTTTGTTGGGCACATCGTTGTGTGATCTTTTTCCGATGAAGAACCTCAGTGACCAGAAATGTCATGGGCTTGACGAGTCCTTGGCACTAGTAAACCTTGCTCGCCTGAGCTGTCGCACCGTGCTCAGGAGCCCATGAAGTGAAAGCCAGAAGCGTCAGCGTGTAATTGATACTAACAGACAAGCAAACACTGCAGGAGTTCTGCTTTTTTCCGCTCTTGCGGCCCTACTGGTGGCACATCAAAGCTTGCGCCACTTGGTGTCATTGTCATCTTCCGGAAGCCATATATTATCAAGAGGCTCGCCATCCATCCAACCTCGTGCCACACTGTCGACTGTCGGGGCAAAGACCGTCAGTGACATTATTGCCAACAGTGCTGACAATACATCTTCGCCCACTTGCTGCCTTTCCAACCCAAAAATCGCATTGCATGAGTCCAGGAGCCGCCATTGTCAGGAAAGGTCACGGCAAATCTGCGACATTTGCGACATCCCACGAAGTACCAGGCCATCGACTGCCGGGGCATCGGTTGATGAAAATGCGACCCTTGCTCAGGATCATTGTCATGCGTATGTATAATTCCATCAGGACCTCGGAATTTGAAAGGTCCAGACTCAGGTCGGATGTATTCTGTCACCGTTCCCCATTCTGTGTACTTCTCCTCGCCTTTCAAGACCTCAGGGTCAGCCGAGACAGACGGGACGTCGCTGCTTTGGCGCTGCAGGTCTTCCAGGAGACGGCGACGAAAGTGTTCCGACTGCCTTCTGATCCAACTCAGGCAACGGTTGTAGGACTCCTCATCGAACTCAGGCTCTACCAGCGACATTGCAGTCTCGAATCTAGAACCGTACATAGGTGATGATTACTATCATCGGTGCCCTGTCTGAGGCATTTGTTGATGGACGCTGTCGGGCCCGTTTGATTTAAAATTGAGCCTGGGACGGCTCCAGCGGCAAAAAATGATGCGGATGCTTAGCAGGCGGCACGGATGATGCCGATGCTTTTGCAGCAGGCCCCTTTAAGAACAACAATGTGCAAGGACAGAAACAAGCAGCCGCAAAGCCAGAAGCTGGGTCCCCCGGCACAGCTTTGGCAAACGTCAGGCCGGCCTAAAGGGGTTTAGCATGAAGGCCACATCGATTCTCAATCATCGAAACGAAGGGGGAAAAAACAAAGAGAAAGATAGCTATCGAGAGAAAGAAAGAGAGACAAACAAAGACAGAGATGGAGCGAGACAAAGAGCATGAGAGTGCTAGTGTTCCTTGTCTTTGTCTTCTTTCATTCCTTCATTCATTCCTTCCTTCATTCCTTCCTTCATTCCTTCCTTTCTTTTTCTTCTCTCTCTCTCTCTCTCTCTCTGTCTCTCTTTCTCTATCTGTCGGTGTCAGCAGAACATCCATATGACACCGCTGATCACCCTGATCGCTGAGCTCACAGACATCTGCCCATCATGATGTCACGACCTTGGTGACACAGCAGGCTGTAGCGCTTGTCAAGTCCAAGTATGGGAAACTGCTTCTGACTAGCGGTGCATGCGACTTTTCTTCCCCATGGCGCACAGCCGTCGTACTGTCGTACTTGTACTTGTTCTGGCAGTCTAACTTCGTAATATCGCCCAGTCTAGCCTTCGTTGTTGCATCATTACACATCCCGGTACAAGTACCGTGAGACTTGAGTCAGCCCGATTGCTTCTGGGCTTTCTCGACAACGCTCAACACCCTTGTAAACACGTTTTTGCTGCATGTCAGCTCCTGCAGCAGCATTTCCTGCATGTCCCGGTGCGTCGTCTGCAGCCGGGCCAAGCTTTTCTCGGACTCAATTTCATCGAGTCCGACATTCAGAAAATAAGGACGAACCAGCTCAGCGACCATCCCAAAGTTGCCAACCGCATTCTTGCCGAGGTACGCAAACACCGTACACAGCAGTTCCTGCTGCAAGATGTTGTCGACCTTACGGAACTTCCGAGTCCCATCGTCGCACGATAGTACTCCACTTCCTTCGGCATCAGCGCGAAAAACCACCAAGGCTGCAACCGAGTGCTGGATGGCGACGAGGCTCGCTTCGTTGCTCAGCTTGAGCGCTTCCTGCACCGGCTCCACAAAGTCCCTGTAGGCAAGAACACGTCCAAGTTCGGCCAAGGAGGTCTCCAGGGCCGTGTGATCATCAGGCATGCCGCCCACAGCGTGGTTGATGACGAAAGGCACCTCCATCAAGCTCTCGTAGAAATTCTTCTGGCTGAGATCCACCAGACGGCTCAGGTTCAGGAGGACGACTTGCATGTCAATATCTTCCAGGTTGCCGCACACATTCCTCACGAACTTCTCCCAGGAAACGTAGTCCGTCATCATCACCATGAGGATGTCAGCCTGGACCTGTCTGTTTGGGGCTTGGGGATTTGGCAGTGGGTCGGGTCCACAGGAAAATTAAGCCTAGTCGTCTTAAATTATGCAAGAGTCAGTCCCGAATCCCGCTCGCACCTTGTACAGTGCGTTGACCAGCTGGCTGTACTGGTCGGTGTTGAGGCCGCCTCCGGTCTTAGGCGAAGACTTCGCCGCATCAATCACCTCCAAGTTGTCGAGCTGGCTTCTTCGGTGACCCATGCTTTGCCACACCACTCGGTCACGCATCAGCAGCTTGGAGTCCTTGAAGGCTCTCTGCAACTCTCTTTTGTCGCTCTGGGGGAAACCGACCATCCTTTCAATCGCGAGGACTTCCTTACCCAATCGCTCCAGCTGCAACCCATGCGGTGCGGGCCTGCACCACTGCATCCCGTCCGGCTTGCAAGCTCACGAACAGGTCATGGTTCACCGCCTTTGGCACGCGATCTTGCTTGTTGCAGGTCGCCAGGCGCTGCAGGGCAGCCACGAGGTCAAACGACATTGCGAGGCACCGGAACCGGAAGATCCACCAGCTTCGGGCAAAATGCTCCACTGCAATGGCAAACCGAGAGTGTTCCCTCACGCAACAAACAGCATTCATGTGGCGCGCGCTTCGAGCCCCTGGCGCTAGCACAGGAGATGCGTGAAGTCACCCGCAATGAATGACCTGACGAAGGACACCCACAGCTACAATTTTACGCAACAAGTGCTATTTCGGCTTTAAGGGAGCAAGCGAAGGGACGAAGAATTCCAAGAATTCGTTCAATGGAATGCATGCATCATTCGCTAGACCGAAGCCACTTCCACTTCCGAACCGACTTCCGAAATCAGTGCTGAGATCACTTCCCTTTCACTTCCGTTTCCTCCCCGGTTGCGGAAGTGGCTTCGGAAGTGGCACTTCCGAAATGCCTTTGTGCATAAGTGGCTGGTGGTGGGGGCGGGCGGGAGGACCGACAGGGTGCACGGGGGGTGTGGGTTTTGGTGGGGAGTGGGGGGGGCGGGGAGCGGGGCAAAGGGGTGGTGAGGTGGGAGACCCACAAAGCCGTGTGGGTGACAGTGTGGGGGCAGAGACAGGGGGGGGTGGCACACATTCACATGAAATGATTGTTTTGGGGTTTTTCGGGACCAGGGACGTGTGGCCTACCTGCCTTAGCCCTTCCAGCAATCAAGTCAAGTCTGCTCTTTTGTTTGTTGCACACGAACAACTGAGAGTGCATTTGTCGTTGTGCTGCGGGCACCCTTCACAATCCTGACTTTTTAGCTCCATCTGCATCGGTCACAACACACTAGAGTGTCGCGGGCTGCGGATGTAGGGCGGTAGCGAAACATCTACACACAATGCTATTGGACAGTGACATCTCACAATTCCAGGCCAGTACACATTGGCAAATTCCACGAGCAGAATTGCTCAAAATTCCGGGCCGGCGATCTCCAGCGAAGACGTTTCTGGTTCGCCACAAAAGCCCTAAAATACATCGCCGTTCCGACGATGCTCGTCCCATTGTTGCCGAACAAGGGCCCTCATGTCTGCACAACTGTGAATAAAATAGGCGCACTCTGCTTCTGACGGCAAGAGGGTACGGACGCTGTCGATTGCGAAGATGACTGCCAGCAAAAGCCTGAAGAACGGCTGTCTGCGATGCCTTCGTTCCTCCATGAAATACAACAGGGCTTCCACCATGTTGCCGAGCGTCTCATAATTAGACACCCCGGTTCTCAACCACCCCGGGGCCACTACTCTCAGGCTCTCCCCGTACACCACATTGCATGGATCCCGTCCCGGGTCGTTGGGATGGGCACGGAAGACTCCTCTGGAGGCAAAGATGTTGTATTCCCGTAGATTCCTGAACTCCGTCAGGAAGGACACGAGCCAGTCTTGCAAGTCAGGTGACGAGCACATGCTCTCTGCCCACTCCAGGAATTGCAAAGCCTCGTCCGGCTGCCGGATCCTCACAGGTCCCAGCCCTTGCGGGTCACATACTTTGCAGCAGGTGAGAGGGAAGCAGTCAGGAGACCAGGCCTTCCATTGAGATGGACGCCACTGAGCCCTACTGTAGCGAAGCACAGCACAGCTCAGACAAT